GTGATAGAACAATGATGTTAAATGACATTTTCTTCTTAGTTTTTATTTCTTTAAGAAAATATATTTCGATGGTAAGAACAGTGCAGAATGATGATTAAAAATAACTCAAAAAAAGAAAATACATTCCTTTAGTACAACTACAATGTTGATTTTACAACCCACTTAACATTTTTGGAAGTAGCAGTTCTGATTTTCAGAAATTAATTTAAAGTCAGGAAGTTTGATCCCATAAGCTGAGAACTCTAGACAACTGATCAGTTTACCTGTGGTTTGTCTCTAAGTAGAGCATGATCATACATTATTTGAGATATGTATATAAGACTGTTGTCTGAACAAGAAGATCTATGAGAGGAACAAAAATAGAGAATTTTAAAAATTAAAAACAAAACAAAAAAATGATTTCTTCTAATCCTTTCCCCCTTTTACTAACTACTCACCTCCATGCTGAAGCCACAGCTTTTAGGCCAGGCCTGACCAGATCCCTACTTGGACCAGATGATGTTTACTGCTGATTTGTCAAGGCATGTGGCAGGGGCAGGGAGGGAATCTGCTCACTGAGGTTCCTGAGCGACAGGTGCTGTGGTAGACACCTGTGATGAGGTCTGAACAGAAAAGAGAGAAATCTGGGAGGCTGAACTGGAGTGGAATAAGAAAGAAATCTGGATGAGATCAAGTTATCTTGGATGTGGTCATGCAGTCATGCTATACATTTAAGAAACCTGGAACATGGCCAGTGAGAGAGTTAGATTATCCAGCCCATAAGTAACTCTTAACAGAATAAGAGCTAACCTAACGGAATATATAGTATATGCTTGGCACACTTTGAAGCATTTCCCATGGACTGATGTTTTAATTTTTTTTATGATTTCTGGTTTACGTATAACCAATATACACCTTTGTGGACTACACTAGGTTTTATTTTTTAATTTGCTATGGGGCATGTGCATTTCCTGGAGAGAAACTGAGAGAGAGAGAGAGAGAGAGGCCTCTGGATTTAAACTGATAACCTTCTATATGGGATTGCCTCACAGAGCATCTATTTTTTTAACTGCTGTGCCACGATCCAGCTTCGTAGATTAATGTATTGAGTCTTCACAGCAGCCCTTTGAGCTCAGTATTATTATTATCTCTCTTACCCAGATGAGGACACATGTATGGAAAAGTTAAGAAACTTGCCCCAAATCACCTGCTACTAGCTGGAGGAGCTGGGATTTGGTCCTGGGTGGCCATATGCCAGAGCTCTTAGCTGCTACATTGATTTGCCTGAACACATACATTTGAAATACACAAGGAAAAAAGAAAGTCCTGGTGACGGGTCAGCTTGGGATAAACAGGAAAAAAAAAAAAAACATTATTTATTTTCATACTGAAATTTGAGAGATCAAAGGGACTTTTATGTCTTCATTTTTCTTAGAATTATTTATTTTATTTATTATTATTATCATTCTTTTAATTTGGCCAAAGAGAGATGCCAAGAGAGGGAAAGTGAGAAAGCAAACCGCCAGGTCCAGAACTGGAACTGCAGTTGGCCATGCGGGAGTTCAGTGCCTCAACCACTGTGCCACCTACCAACCCCTTATGCCTTCATTTCTAAACTGAGGAACTTGATAACCAAAAAGATAAAGAACTTTTTACCAGTTTACCAGTTTACTTGTGACAAAGACAAGATTGCAAATCAGGTCTCCTGAGTCCAGGAGCTGGGCCCACATCTGTGTTTGCTTTAGGACCAAGATGACCCCACAGATCAGTGGAGAATGATAGTTTTTTATGTATATATATATAAGAGAGATTTTTGCTGTAGGATATGTGCGCTCACGAGGGACACACAGAGAGAAAATAAGAAATCACCCCCTAAGGGGGATAGCCACACTACAGTCCCTTCTCCTCTTAGGATTTTAGGCACGTATGCACACACACCTGGTGTGTTTCAAGTAGCCAGGTCTGGGACTTTAACTGCTGTCCATCATGAGGGATTCCAGGGCTTTAACCACTATGTCACCTGCTGGCTCCTATAGTCTTTGTAAATAAGCTTTGAAATGAGCTTCTTAGTCACAGCATTCACAAAAATGAACTACAGGTATCCACATTAGACATAGGTGTAAAAGGTCAATCCTAAAGCCTTGAGAAAGTAATGTAGGAGATTGTTTTTAATGACCTCATAAGAACATGTAGGAGACGTTTTTGTTCCCTTTAATAATTATTTATATAATTTTGTTTATTATTAGTTTTTAATTTGCGCTAGGGCATGTGCACTCACCAGAGAGAGATAGAGAGAGAAAGTGAGAAAGCAAGCTGCAGGTCTGGAATTTGAACTGCAAATGGCCATGTGGGAATCCAGTTCCTTAACCACCACACTACTTGCTGGCCCTGGTTGATGTTTCTTAAAACCAAAGTGCGAAAGTTTTATAGAAAACAACTGATAAGTTTGACCATGCTGAAATTAAGAAAGATAGACTATATAATAGGTACCATTACATATCTAACCAATAATGGACATACATTATGCATATATAATACATTTGTATAGACCAAAAAGAATATGGCAAGCAACCCAGTAGAAAAATGGGCAAAGGACTTCAACAAGTACTTGAAAATAAAGATCTAAGTAATCGATAAACATTTCCATTAACATGCTCATGTTGTATAAATTGGCACAATTGCTTTGGAAAGTAATTCGACATCATCTACAAGTTGAGATCACACATCCTGTGGCCCAAGCAGTTCTGTACCCAGGAATATACTGATTAGAAATGAGTGCACGTGGGCCCTGGGAGACGTATTCAAGAAGGTTCACAGCTAGCCAGAGGTATGGTGACTAGGGCAGCTGGATCCCACATGGAAGATTGACTATGTGGTCTGAGTCCCAGACCCGGTGGCTTGAAATACACACAGGGTACATGTGTGCGCAGGCTCAAAATCCCAAGAGGAGAATGGAGGGGAAAAATTGCCGTGTGGTCATCCTTCCTGGGGAGTGCTTTCTTACCATACCTGCTGTCCCCAACTCTCTCTGGCAAGTGCATGCACACTATAGCAAATATAAAACAAAACAAAAAAATGTTCATACTGTTTGTATCACTCCAAGACTGTCCATTAATAATGGATAAATAATTGTGGTATATTTATACAATTGAATATCACACAACAATGAACAGGAGTTAACTTATTTACACACAACTATATCGTTGAATCCTATAAACCTTATGTTCAGTACAGGAAACAACACAAGAGAATACATGTAATATGATTCTTTCATTATGAAGTTCAAAAATAGGCAAACTAAAATACAGATTATTTAGGTTAGGGATCTGTACATAGAGGATATAACTATAAAGAAGAGCAAGGAAATACTATAAAAATTAGGATAGTCATTCCCTGTGAAGGGATACATCCTGAGTGGTGATTATAGTGGTTTTCAACTTTTGTCATTGAAATTACATATTTATGTTTTATACTAAAGAAAACAAATTACTGACAATAATAACAGATTGAAAGGTAAAGAAAATAATTAAAGCAGAGAGAAAGTGAAGGAATTTCCTTTCAATGAAGAAGCAGAGCTCTTAGAAAGTGATAGGAGGGCCAGTCTGTTTCACGGTGGTTAAGACGGCGAGATCCCACATGGCCAAATGTGCAGTTCAGGTTCCAGACCTGATGGCTTGAGAAACATGCCTGGCACATATGTGCCAAGGATCTGGAAAGGGAGGAGAGAGAGAGCAGGAATTCTTCCGTGACCATGCTCCATGAAGGATGATTTCTCACCCCCCTCAGCCCCTACCTTCAGCAAACGTGCCCTCTGACAAATACAACAGTAATTAGAAAAGCTGGCACTTCTGAAATTTTTATGATACAGGATTTTTTAAAGTTTGCAATATCAATTATGTACAATAATATGTGTAGATATTAACTATTCAGTTGGGTGAGGTCTATTATTTACAGTTTTTCCCTATCTTCCAGAACAGAAAATGGAACAATTTTACCACCCTGAAAAGTTGCCTTCTTCCCTTTTCTAATCAGTTCCCCACCAAGAGGCAGCCACTTTCTGATTTCTGTCACATTAGTGTTACCTGTTCTTGAACCTCATATAAGTGGAATGATGTTATATGTACTCTTTTCTGTCTGACTTCTCTAATATATCTATTTCATTTATGTTGTTGTGTGTATCAATACCTGGTTCCTTTTTAAAGTTATTTATTTTTAAATTTTATTATTTTTTTTCAGAGAGATTTTTTCCTATAGAGTGTGTGCACTCGCCAGAGAGGCAGACAGAAAGCAAGAAATCACCTCCTGGGGAAATGGCCATGCTGCAATCCCTTCTCCTTCGGTCTCCTCTCAGGAGTTTGGTCATGTATGCACATGCACCTAGCATGAGTTTAAGCTGCCGGGTCCAGGACTTGAACTGTGGTTAACTACATGGGAGTCCAGCAACATAACTATTATGCCATCTGCTGATCCCAGTACTTTGTTTCTTTTTAGTTGATAAGTAGCTTTCCATTATGTTAATATACCACAATTTATTTGTCTATTTTTTAGAATTAAATGAAATGAGTGTAAAGTACATAATTTAGTGCCTTGTGCATAATGCATGCTCAATAATAACTGCTTGCAGATAATAGTGTAATCGTTGGTTGGTCTCAACAGCTGACATCTCATAAAATTAAGGGCCATTTTAGCACTGGTCTTTTTTGAAGAGACCAGAAATCCCCAAATGATTGGAAAGTTTGAGAAGATCCTGCACCTGTCCCTCCTCCTCCCATCCTGATTGTCCCATAGCTCCTTAATGGCCAAGGTTGAAGAGCAAAGCGTTGAACTAGGCTATGTGTAGGGGCCAGCACACCTTTCTGTAACGTGCATGAGTAGCTGCCTCACTCCTGCCGTTCACACTTACTTGGCAAATTGTGGAATTGTTTTGGACTCTATTAAATAGCTTTGTATCAAAAACTTCTACGAAATAAAACATTGGGATGATAGCTCAGTAATCTTGAATATCTGAGTCTCTTTTATCCTGTAAGCATCCAATTCAAGGTCAGAACCATATGTACATTCAGCTGTGCAGAGACCTGGTTCAGTCAGTGTAGTTGGGTTACAGTTAGGTTGAAGTGGAATTCCAGTTGTAAGTGTGTGTTTGTCCTCCCTGCCTGACTACCACCCCTAATTTGCTTCCTTTCTTCCTTCTCATTTCCCACATCAGGCCAAGTGCAGGAACATGGAGCACTCGCTGCGGGAGAAAGCCAAGGCCTTCTGGGCCATGCGACGCTCCTATGAGGCCATTGCCAAGCACAATCAGGTGAGCTTCTGGTCTGAGTCAGGAGATTGGGAACACTAGGGGAGTTGCAAGGAGAAGCAAAGGTGGGTCTGCCTTGGGATTGGCTTTGCACTTGCTGATATTTTTCCATTTTTCTTTTTTATCTTTTTGTGTGATAAGAATCACCTCAGATTCCACTGTCTCTCATGTAAGTTTTTTAGACAGAAATGTCAGCAATGCTACCTGTTCATATTTGCATTTTTGATTATTGGTAAATATGTGCATTTTTTCACAATAACTATTTGCATTTCTTCTGTGAATACCACTTTATATTGTTTTGTTGGAATATTTGTCTTTTCTCCAAGTGGATTTGTAAGAGTATATTGTACATTAAAAATAATAGTTTGGGGACTAGCAGTTAGCATAATGGCTATGTCACTGAACTCCCATGTAGTTGACCACAGTTCAAGTCCTGGACCTGGTGGCTTAAACTCATGTCAGGCACATGTGCGTGCATGCCCAAGATCCCGAGAGGAGAATGGAGGAAAAGGGATTGCAGCATGTCCATCTCCCCTGGGGGGGTGATTTCTTGTGTTCTGTCTCTCTGTCTCTCTGGCGAGCGCACATGCCCTATAGCAAAAACCTCTCTAAATAATAATAATAATAATTATAGTTTGTTGTATGTGTTGGAAATACTTTTCTCCTTTGTAATTTCTTTTTTTTTTTTTTTTTTTTAATTTGCCATAGTGTGCATGCTCTCGCCAGAGAGAGAGAGATAAAAAGAATGAGAGAGGTGGAAAGCAAGAAACCACCCATTGTGGTGCCTGGTCACATCTCAATCCCTTCTCCTCTACTTCTCCTTCCTTTTGGGATTTTTGAGCATGTGTGATTCTCAAGCCACTGGGTCAGAGACTTGAACTGTACTGTCAGCCATGTGGGATCCTGCCAGGACCCGCTTGGCAGAGTGCATTTTTTTGAATAGGGGGCTGAGGATTAGAAATAAACACAAAGACATACAGGTTAGAAAAGTGAGGATTGAGTGGGCCCAACTTCTCTGGTGGAGAAAACCATGACCCTAAACCAGCCTCAGTTTTATTCATTAAAGGGCAGAAAATAGGGGAAGAGGAAATGGAATACAAAGCCAGTTGTTTTTGCATGTTAATCATCTGAAGATGCAAAAGCGACTGGCACCATGAAGTTTCTCTAATTTTGGGGGGGCTGATTCTGATAAACACATGTGACTTCCGTTAGCCTTATACTGCTCTACAGTTTCAATAACAACAGGCAGCTAGCATATTTGCATGCAAATTGCTTTTATGCTATGCAAGTGAAGCTCATGGAACCACGTTTCTGCATGTATCTAAAGGTCACCATGTTTGCTCAGATAAGGCTGCTCTGTACAGGATCCAGCCGCCTGACTTCCAGGTTATAGGCTAATCTTGTATTTTCTTTTTCAGTGATTTTTTTTTTACTCGTTTCAGCCATTTTCACTGAATTATATTGTATCATAACATATATAGCCATATGCTGCATTTCAGTTCATGATTTTTATAGGTCGTACTGTATAGCCTATGTGTACAGTAGGCTATACCATTTAGGGTTGTGTAATTACATTCCATGATGTTCACACAGTAAATAAGTTGCCCAAGGTACATTTGTCAGACTGTACCCATGTTTAGTGATACACAACTATATTGAACTTTAAATCCAAACATAAGATTGCTAACCTGTCATTGCTAGAGCACACATTGTAAGTTGTTTTTCCAATAGTTGTCGTTATCTTTTTGTATTCAGTGCTATTAAAAATATTTTGCAATACAGAACTTATTTTTATATGTATCAATGATCTCATTCTTTCATTGAGACTTCTTAGTTTCATATTATAGCAAATCAGGGATTGTGGCAGGGCCATGGCCCCTGGAGGGTGATTTCTAGCTTTCTGTCTTTCTAGTGAGCATATACACCCTATTGCAAAATCTTTCTTAAAAAAAGAAAAGAAGAATCAAAGCAACCTCATTATGTCGTCTGACTTCCCCATTTGAAATTTGAACTTACAAGTTGTGCTGATAAGCTATAGGAGTTCTACATATGAAGTATTATTATTTTTTTTAGAGGTTTTTGCTATAGGGCGTGTGTGCTCGCCAGACAGAGAGAGACAGAGAGATAGAAAGCGAGAAATCACCCCCCCAGGGGAGATGGCCACGCTACAATCCCTTCTCCTCCATTCTCCTCTCGGGATCTTGGGCACGCACGCACATGTGCCCAGCGTGAGTTTAAGCCACTGGGTCCGGGATGCGAACTGTGGTCGACTACGTGGGAGTCCAGCGACATAGCCATTACGTTAACTGCTGGTCCCATATATGAAGTCTTTTTAAAATAGAGTTATTTTGGGACCAGCAGTTGGCGTAATGGCTATGTCGCTGGACTCCCACGTAGTCAACTGTGGTTCACGTCCTGGACCTGGTAGCTTAAACTCACATCGTGCGTGTGAGTGTGCGTGTGTGCCCAAGATCTCGAGGAATGGAAGAGGAGGGATTGCAGCGTGGCCATCCCCCCAGGGGGGTGATTTCTCACTTTCTGTCTCTCTGTCTTTTTCTGACTTTCTGGTGAGTGCATGTACCCTATAGCAAAAACCTCTCAAAAAAAAAAAAAGTTATTTTGCTAAAAGTCTGAAGTTTTCTGGGCTGGGTGATGGCCAAGGTTTCTTTCATATCAGACCTTCTTTGACTCCATTCTCTGGTCCGCTCTAGGTGGAGGCCACCTGGCTGGAAGGTCGCATCAGGCAAGAGTTTGATAAGCTTCGTGAGTTCTTGAGAGTGGAAGAGCAAGCTATTCTCGATGCCATGGCTGAGGAGGTGAGGCAGAAGCAGCTTCTGGCTGAGGAAAAGATGAAGCAACTCACAGAAGAGACAGAGGCTCTTGCCCATGAGATTGAGCGGCTACAGATGGAGATGAAGGAAGATGATGTTTCTTTTCTCATGGTAAGGAACTCAGCTTCTGGATTCAGTGCCAGGGGCCAGCTGTTCAGGGACAAGCTGAGAGCCATAGATCACTCATCTTAGCCAGCCTAATCTTTCATAGCTTCCTGGATTCTGGCTTGGAGGAGCCTTACAGATGAGGTGTTTTGTTTGTGTGAAGAGGCTAAAAAGGTTGTGATTCAGTAATCTCCTATTTCACTCTTCTTCTATTCTCTGTTTCTCTTTCTTGCACTCATTTTTTTTTGTTTGTTTCTTTCTTCTCTACCCCTTTAATAAACAGTCTTTTTTAAAAAAGAATTATTTATTTTATGTATTTATTATTATTACTATTTCACCTGATTTTGCCAGAGAAAGATGGAGAGGGAGAATGAGAAAGCAAGCTGCCAGGTCTGAGACCCGAACTGTGGTTGGCCATGTGGGAAGTACAATGCCTAAACTACCATGCCAACCTTGACCCCCATAAATAATCTTTAAAAACAATTTTTTTAAAAATTTTTTATGGTGAAAAAGTGTGTATTTAGAATAGCCAGCTTGATTCAGTTTAGGTGATCCCAATTTTGTTGGCCACATCCAAAGCCTCATAATCAGGAGCCAGTTCCACATATGCCTTCTCTCCATCAGGCCTGATTAGGGTGTTGACCTTGGCCACATCAATATCATAGAGCTTTTTCACAGCCTGTTTGATCTGGTGCTTGTTGGCCTTGACATCCACAATGAACACAAGTGTGTGGTTGTCTTCTGTCTTTTTCACGGCAGACTCAGTGGTCAGGGGAAACTGGATGATGGCATAGAGGTCAAGCTTCTTTCTCTTGGAGGCACTCTTCCAAGGATGATTGGATTGCCTCTGTAGCTGTAGAGTGTTGGGCCTCTGGAAGGCAGGTGACTTGCCGATCTTTATTTTTTGTGGCTATGGATGCTTTTCAGCACTGTCTTCAAAGCCTTTGCTTTGGTTTCAACTTTGGGAAGGCCAGGGGCTTCCTTCTTCACTTTTGATGCCATCTTGGCAAAAAGGATCTTTGAGATCCTTACCACTGGCTTATAGAGAAAAATCTAAATAAATAGTCTTTTAAAATTATTCAGTTTATTGAAAATTTTAATGATGTCTTGCTATTTTCTTAAGAGAAAAATTCTACTCTTTTTTTTTTTAATATGCAATTCATTTAGTTCTTCCTTTTATTGATTTTAGTCTTTCCAACAATTAACTGGTTCTTATGAAGAAGTTCCCACAGCTTGAAAGCTGGTTCGTTAATTGGTCAGGGTAGTGAGATATCTACTGTGGAGAATAGCTGAGCTCTCTGGAAAGAGGAGTCTTTGTAGAGTGGAACGGGAAGGGATAGAAACCATTTCTCCGTTCAGTGTATCACATTGTGACTGGAACCTATGGGTTCTCCAGCTCATCCAAAACCTTGAACTGTGATATCTTCGAACTCTAAAATATCCCTTATTATAAAATAATGTGGTGGGTTCTAAAGCTGGATTCCTGGCCAGTTCAGTTTAGGAAATTGCAAATATTATTTCATCCAGTATCGAGTATGCTTTCAGGAATGGTTTGGGTTTGTGATTTCTTTTTATTTTTCATTTAATAACAACTTTTGAGATATAATCATATGCTGTGCAAGTTACCAATTAAAAATGTACAGAACAGGGACTAGCAGATGATGTAGTGGTTATGTTGCTGCATGGCTGACCGCAGTTTGAGTCCCAGGCCACATGGCTGACTACAATTTGAGTCCCTGACCCAGTGGCTTGAAAATCATGCTGGGTACATGTGTGTGCATTCTCACAAGCCTAGGTGGAGAATGAAGGAGAAGGGATTGCAGTATGGCTATACCCCCCCAGGGGGTGATTTCTCATTTTCCCTCTCACAGTCTGTGTGTCTCTTATCTCTTTCTCTCTGGTGAGTGCAAACACCCTAAGGCAAAAATCTCTTAAAAAGGTATAAATCAGGTAAACAAGTGGCATAGAGGTTAATGTGCTGTGTCCCATGTGGTTGACTGCGCTATTAAAGTCCCATGAAAATCATACCTGACACGTGTGTGTGTGTGTGCCCCAAATCCCAAGAGGAGACTGGAGGAGAAAGGATTATGGTGTGGTCATCTTCCCGGGGGGTAATTTCTTACTTTTTCTCTTTCTCAGTCTCTGGTGAGCACACGTGCCTTTTAGCAAAAACAAAAACAAAAAGTATAGATCTAGAATTTTTAGTACATGTAGAGTTGTGCAAACTTCACAACAATCAATTGTACAGATCTAGAATTTTTAGTACAGGTAGAGTTGTGCAAACTTCACAACAATCAATTGAATTGTGCAACATGTCATCACCTCAAAAATATGTTATCCCCCCCAATTCCTTTTCCCTCTAGTCTCTGGCCATTAGTCTAATCTCTGTCCTTACAGATTTACCAATCTAGCCATCATATATAATGAAATCATATAATAATACATAGCCTATAGTGACTGACTTCTCTTACTCAGCATAATGTTTTGAAATGTCATCCATGTGGTAGCTATCAGTACTTTGTTTCTTTATATGACTTAATAAAAGTCCGTTATATGGATATACTACATTTTATTTATTCACTCTTAAAAGTTAGTTCTCTAGACCAGCAGATGGCATAAAGGTTACATCATTGGATTCCCAAGTAGTTGACTGTGGTTCAAGCCCTGGACCTGGCGGCCTAAAACTCATGCCAGGCATGTGTACGTGCATGCCCAAAATTCCAGGAGGAGGGTGGAGAAGATTGTGGTGTGGCCACCCGTCCAGGGGGTGATTTCTCACTTTTTGTCTCTCTTTCTGATAAGTGCATATGCTCTATAGCAAAAATTTCTCTTAAAAAATATTTTTTAATAAAAAAAATAAAAGAGGGTCCTCCGAGTTGCTTTTATAGTTTGGCTATTATGAATAATATGACTGTAAACATTCACTTACTGGTTTTTATGTGAACATGTTTTCATTTTTCTTGGATATATACCAAGGAGTAGATTTTCTGGATCATACGGTATCTCACAGTTTAACTGAAGAACTCTCAAACTGTTTTCCAAAGCAACTCTATCATTTTCTATTTCCTTCAGCAGTGTTATGAGGATTCTAATTTCTTCACATCCTTACCAACCTTTATCTTTTATTACTGTGGGTTGTCAGGAAAGTCATGACAAAGTTTTTGCATAGAAAAACAGAAAAATATGCCATGACTTTCTCAGCAGCCTAATAATTATTTTTATAGCCATCTAGTGAATGTGAAGTGCTATATCATTGTAGTTTTGATTTGCATTTCCCTGATGGCTAATGATGTTGAGCATCTTTTCATGTGCTTATTGGCCATTGATAGCTCTTGCTTAGAGGAATATCTGTTCAGATCCTTAACACAATTTTCATTTTTTTAAATTCAGTTATCTTTTTATTGTTGAGCAGTAAGAATTCTTGATACAGGCACTTTATCAGTTTTTGTCCTACTTTTAGGTCTTTGATCCATTTTGAATTAGTTTTTGGTGTTTCTGTTTGCTTGTTTTAGGTTTTTGTCATAAGATTTTGTGTGCTTGCCTGAGAGAGACAGAGAGAGGGAGAGACAGCAAGAGAGAAAGTGATAAATCATCCCCTGTATGGTCATACTGCAGTCCCTTCTCCATTCTCCTCCTGGGAGAATGGCATGAATGCACATGGGCCAGGCATGATTTTCAAGCTGCCAGGCCTGGGACTCGAACCACGGTTGACCATGTGGGAATCCAGCACCTTATCTAATGTGCCACTTGCTGACCCCGGGAATATTGACATCTTAACAATATTAAGTTTACTCATCCATGACCATGGGATATATGACTTCTGAGATAAGAAACTTACAAATTTTCCCTGTGTCTGTTTCTTTCTTTCAGAAACATAAGAGCCGAAAACGCCGGTAAGTTGCCGAGGCTGGTAGAGGGGAGGGGAAGAGCTGGGTGCAACGTCCAGTGACTCCGGGGCCAGGCAGGTAACACCATCAGCAGGTTGTAATTCATAGGGACTGGTGGGGACTGGAAAGTGAAAAGAGCCCTCTTCCAAGACATCCCAATTTCAGTTGACACTGGGGCATACTCATCCTCCTGAATATGGAGAGTCACCATCTGCCGTGAGGGGAGGGAGAATACCATCCTGCATATGGCCTGTATTTCTAAGTGGTCACCCAACATTTAGGCTTGTATCTTGGTAAGCCCCCTCCCTCTAAGAGCATCAGGATACCCTGTTTTGTGTTGATAGTTGTTGGGTTCACAGGGATGAATAATGAAGAACTGGGTCCCAGTCAGAGCTACCCCAAGATGGAAGAGAGTGCTTTGGGCAATAGTGAGTTCCCTGTCACCGGAGGTGTTCAAGCAAAGGCTAAACAACATCTTGGGACTGTTGGACTAGAGCACCCTTAAGGTCCCTTCCAACTCAGACAGCCCATGAATGGATGTGTAAGTGCCACAAGGATGGCAGCCATGCCAGAGAACCTCCTCTCTTTGTACTTCTCCCAGTTGGGGCAGGTTGAGCCCTTAAGGGGTGTAGTGGTTCAGTTGGCCCCTGACCCCTGGCCCATCTCCCATCAGTGCCTAGTCCAGGTTTACCTTGGGGAAGGTGGCAGGAAACTTAGTTCTGAGGCAAGGGAGTAAATCCTATTGCCTGCTTCCAGTTAACCCAGTTGGACCCAGGATGACTGGCCTCAGCCTGCACCCAAACCCAGTCCTTCTTTCCCAGACTTTTCTGCACCATGGAGCCAGAGCCCGTCCAACCTGGCATGCTCATTGAGGTCTGCAAATACCTGGACTCCCTGCAGTTCCGTGTCTGGAAGAAGATGGTCATGTGTGTTGAATCTGGTAAGTGGGAGCATGAATGGGTATTAGTGGGGATGTACTTCATGCTAGCAGTAAAACAGTGGATCCCATCCCCACCAGCTTTCCTGCTCCTTTGAGCTTCCCTCATCTTTTCTCTGACACACTCTAGCCTCTTCCAATAAGTGCCTGGGTCCCACTCTCCCCTCCTTCCTGAAACCCCTGATGCCTCATGGTGGAAAATCTTCCTCTTGAGGTCCTGACACTCTGCCACCTCTTCAGAGAAACTGAGTTCTCTCATTCAGATCCATATTGTATATGGAATGGAAGACCTCAACCTAGGACTGGCTCTACCAAGGTGACTCCTGCCCATGCAAGCCACCATACCCTAGTTTGTAGGGAGAAATGTCAATGCCCCAGGGGATGCGATATTTTCCTGAGGCTTCCTGGGTCACATGAACATTAGGAGACCCTACCTGTATTAGTTTCCTGCAGTTGCTATATGAAGGATCACAGACTGGGTGACTGAAGATGACAGAAAGTTATTGTCTCGCGGGCCTGTAAGTCCAAATTTAAAAGGCTGGCAGGGTCTTTCTTACTCCCTCCAAAAACTATAGGGAAGGACCCTTCTTTTCCTCTTCCTAATTTTTGGTGTTTGCTGGTGGTGCTTGGCCTTCCTGGGTTTGTGGCTTTTGATCTTAGCATTTTAATCTCTGCTTCTGTGATCACAAGGCTTTCTTCCCTCATGTATCTATCTGTCTCTCTCTCTCTCTCTTTTTTTTTTTCTCATGTATCTGTCTCTCTCTTTTTTTTTTTTTTTCCTTTTTCTTTGGCTAGATGGTACATGTGCTGGCCAGAGAGAAACAGAGAGGAAAAGAAGAAATCGCTCTTCCATGGGGCACGGTCACACTGCAGTCCCTTTCCCGTCTTTCCTTCCTTTCCCGATTTTGGGCATGCACACACACTTGCTGGGCATATTTCTCAAACTGCCAGGTCTGAGATGCAAACTGTGCAGTCAGCCATGTGGGACCTGGTCGTTTTAACCACCAGGCCATGAAAGTGGCCCTCTTTTCTTTTTATAAGTCACCAGTTAAATCTTATTAAAGGCCACCCTTTTCTAGTCTGACTCCATCTTAATAACATCGACAATAACCCCATTCCCAAATAAGGGCATATCCCAAGGCACTGAGAGTTGAGACTTTATCTTCAGAGAGGACACAGTTCACTCCGTAGGCTCCTCCCTCAGCCCTGGGGGTTCCCCGCATGGTGGGTGGTCAGTGTGGGGGCCCTGGAGATGAAGCAGGTGTTGGGGGGGGTCAGGTTTGCTGATTTTCCCCTTCTCCCTTCTGCCCCCAGTGCCCTTCAGCTTCGATCCCAACTCTGCAGCAGGCTGGCTGTCTGTTTCTGATGACCTCACCAGTGTCACCAACCACGGTTACCGCATGCAGGTGGAGAACCCGGAACGCTTCTCTTCGGCACCTTGTCTGCTGGGCTCATGCGTCTTCTCGCAAGGCTCCCATGTCTGGGAGGTGGTCCTGGGGGGACTGCAGAGCTGGCGGGTGGGTGTGGTGAGGGTGCGACAGGATGCAGGCGCCGAGGGCCACTCACACAGCTGCTACCACGACACGCGCTCGGGCTTCTGGTACTTGTGCCGCACACAGGGGGTAGATGGGGATCAGTGCATGACCTCCGACCCAGCCACGGCACCTCTGGTGTTGCCTGTGCCACGCCGCCTGCGTGTGGAGCTGGAGTGTGAGGAGGGTGAGCTCTCTTTCTACGATGCCGAGCGCCACTGCCACCTGTACACCTTCCACGCTCGCTTCGGGGAGGTGCGGCCCTACTTCTATCTAGGGGGTGCACGGGGTGATGGGCCTCCCGAGGCTTTGTGCATCTGCCCCCTGCGCATCACCATCAAGGAAGAGCTGGACAGCTGAGCCCTTCCGATGCCTGTCAGGCCAGCCTAGTGCACCATGGGCCAGTCTTTCTGCCTCTTTCCAGAGCCCACACTCACCTGGGCGCACTCTCCCCCTGCCTCCTTGGCAGGGCTTCTCCCTTGTCCTTTTCCCTGACTGCAAACCTCAATCCTCTTCCTTCATTTTCTGTCCCTTTTCTGTCCTGTTAGAAGCTATCCAGGAGGCCTCTCTCTGGGTTCAGGCTCTCCCCAATATCACACCTTCAGGATGTGAATTTTTCGAATCCTCATTCCAGGATTTCGGGGGATTAATGATTGCTTCTTGGGATGGGCCTGTTTTGAAATATAGGTTTTATTATCAGCCAGGTGTGGTGAGGCTAACCCAGGCGGGAGATGACTGCCATTGGGAAGATGGCTTATTACTTAGAGTTTCCAAGAGGATGGGGCAGGCCACGCCAGGGTGGGGGTACAGGGAAAGCACCAGATGGTGGGGTGGCAGAAGGGAGGGAGCGTGGGCCTGAGACTTTACTGTGGTTTCCTTAGGAAGGAATGGCCGAGGCAGAGCAAGCCGGTAGCCAGTTTAGGATTACCTAGTGTGAACAGTCACAGCGGCTCTGAGATGTAGGGGCACCCCTCGTTGTTGATGCCTGGCCTGGAGGTGAGGACAGGAGCACACCGCCCTGGAGAGGGAGGGCCCTGAGGGAGCCTGATAGAGGAGGCAGTTAGGGGGACATCCTGGATGGGTTGGTTTCTGTGGGAAAGTCTCACTTCTGGGTGACTTGTGTACCCGACTTCTATCACTAGGAATTGGCTGGTCTCAGAGAGGCAGGCTGCAAAGTCAGTGAGGTCCCAGACCCACAGATATGGTAAATAAGAAAATAGTTACCATAGGACGACTGCCCCGGCTTTGGGACAGGACCCGTGACCATACTCCACAGATCCTTCCTGGGGTTTCTTGGAGTGGGTGGCCAGGCTGCCCCCCTCCATCAGATCAAGAAAAGAGAAAGGATGGAAAGGGGTGCTTTCCAGTTAGGAAGAAGGGAGAGGGATGGAGTCTAGGGGCAGCACCAGGGTTGTGGCCTCAGGTGCTTTGAGAGAGCGCCGAGAGGGAAGTGCCGGCCCTAGACCCTTGCAGCCCTCTTGTCCTTGCTGCCCTGGATCTGCTGATTATCCACCTGCCACTGACGTGTTCATCCCCAGTTTCACCTTCTGCTGTACCTGCAGATTCATGTTTCTGTTTCTGCCACAGTGCACATGTGCTCAGCAGAGAGACACAGAGAGGGAGCAAGTACTCCCCATGGGGAATGGCCACACCGCAGCCCCTTCTCCTCCTTTTCTCCATCCTGTCTGGATTTGGGACACGTATGAGCACATTTTTCTTTTAAGCCGCCAGTGCTGGTCTTTGAACTGATCAATTGGCCAGGTGGGATCTGGCTCCCATGCCACTGGACCATAGAGCCAGCTGCAAATAGTTTAATTTTTTTAATTTTAGAGGTTTCTGCCATAGAATGCATGCACTTACTGGAGAGAGACAGAGACAGAGAGAGGGAAAGTGAGACATCACCCCTCAAGGGAATGACTATGCTGTAGTCCCTTCTCTTGCATTCTCCTCCTGGGATTTTGGGCATGCATGCACACACATGCAACATGATTTTCAATCTACTGGGTCTGGGACTGAAACTGCAGTTGGCCATATGGGAATCCAGTGATTAACCACTATGCCATCTGCTGGCCCTCCCGAGATAGTTTTTAATTGTCAATTCATCGTTTCCAGGAAACAGCATCATAAAACGAAATACTATATTTTTTCATAGTGTTATAACTGGGGCACTTTCATGACTAAGAACTCAGCACCACACGGGTCTGCTGCCTGTACCCCCCAGCTCACGAAAACTGACATTTTAAACAGGAGTAATGACACATACCTATTAACTAGTTATAAATGTGTTGTGTACATTGGTTACACACATCAAACGTAGGATCACAGAGAGGCGCCAGGTAGGAAAAGCCACCACGTGAATCAGGCCAGTTGGGAGTGGTAAGGACATTGGCAGACTAGTGCATGTGTGTCAGGCCTAAAGGTGTCAGGCTCCAAAAAGCTCCAGGGGTTTTGGGAAGCAGAAGCATCTGAGTATGTACCTTCTACAAAGCCTCTAGCTCATCAAGTAGCATTTCCGTGTAACTGACCTGAAATTATTTTGTTAGTTAAAATAAATTTTTTAAAATGTTTTTTACTATTCCCTTAGATGTTGGAAAAGTTTATTTTACAATGTAATATGAATAGCCTGGCCTTTTTTAAAAAATAAAAATGATATTTTTCTTTTGGCATCTTTCTTTCTACATTCTTGTGAGCAAAAGTTTACCCGTGCTGTCACATGTGTTCATTCAACTGCGTTTCATTTTATTGTCAGATAATACTCCATTGTATGGAATGATGCGTGATGTCTTATTTATTCATTAATTATGTGGATGGACATTTGAGTTTTCGTTTTCTGACCATGATGTACAATGCTGCTGTGAATTTTCATGTATAGGGTTTTGTTTCGTTTTAACTTTTTTTTTTTTCATAGGTCACGTAAAATCGCTGGACAGAGACAGAGAAGAGAAATCACCCTCCATTGGGGGATGGCCATGCCACAATCCCTTCCCTTCCATTCTCTCAGGATTTGGGGTATGCATACATAAGCCTGATGTGATTTTCAAGCTGCTAGGTCCGGGTGTGAAGTGTTGTCGACCAGAGTTCAGTGCCTTAACCTCCATGGCACCTGCTGACCCCTTGTGGATAGGTTTCTGTGTAGATACCTGTTTTTCTTTCTTTTGGGCATATACTTAGGGGCAGATTTGCTGGATCAAACAGTAACTCCATTTAAGCTTATGAGGAGCAGCCAAGCTGTCTTCCAGTGTAGCTGCACCATTTTATATTCTCATTAGCAGTACACGCTTGGATTCAGAAACCAACCCTGTGATTTAGGAGCTGCTAGTCTTTGGAACCTCTGTTCCCGTGTGTAGGATGAGGGTTGTAATAGCTACGTCAGGCTGTGTGGGAATTCAGTGAGGCAATCTTTGGTAAAGCTGCCAAGTATTACATCCTATTATACTCATTCGATTCTTACATGTTGGCTGATTCTTCAGAAAATGAGACTCTGAATGTTGAGATTGCAATTCACAGTAATGATGGGTCCCAAAGAAAAATAAGAAACCCAGAAATATAAGCTGTGTGCATAGAGAATATTCATATTTCTTCAGATTTTAAACAAGGATGTGTACATAAAACATATTTATGAAAAATGTCAGTAAGATGGAGAAATGGTTAGGTTGTAATCACTGAGAAAAATAGGATTCAGTGTTCTGTGTACAGATATGCCACATTCTGAAAGATAAGCAGGAGCTTGTCTTTAATTAGTGTGTGGTGTCTGACTTGTTTACATGGCTGTAAATTCCAACAGTTCACAAATGTACTAGAATAATCTCTCCTCTTGTGTCCCAACATTCAGCCCCTCCTCCACTTATAGGCAATCCATATTATGTTTTTTTTTAAAAAACCCTTCCAGAGATATTTTGTGTATAGCATATACTCAGTTTATGGGTGTATTCTGGTCCCCTCTATCCACTATAATTTAAGAGCAGATATTCTAGCTTCATATCTCTAAGTAACTCAACCAATAGGAGAAAACTCAAAGGATGTTATTAAAATTATTTTCATTCATCAAAGGGGAGATTTGTCTTGGATGTTTTCAGTCAAGAGTTCATTCATCTGGTGGATTTTGCTTCTTAAGTATTTCACCCTAAGGTTTTGATTTTTTCTCTTGGTAAGAGATTTTTGCTATAGGGTACATGTGCTCACTGGAGAGACAGAGGGTCAGAGAGACAGAAAGGGAGAAATCATGCCCCAAGGGGATGGCCATGCTGCAATCCTTTCTTCTCTATTTCCCTCTTGGGATTTTGGGTACTTATACATATGGCCTGGTGTGAGTTTTAAGCCACTGGGCTTGGGACTTGAACCACAGTTGACTATGTGGGACTCCAGCAACATAACCATTATGCTATCTGCTGGTCCCCACCCTAAGGTTTTAAAAGAGAAAAAGTGGGGCCAGCAGGTGGCATGGTGGCTAGGGCCCTGGACTCCTCCACGGTCAACCATGATTCAAGTCCTGGACCTGGTGGCTTGCTTTTTCACTTTCTCTCCTCTCTCTCTCTCTCTCTCATGCATGATGTGTCCTGTAGCAAACTAAAAAGTATTCATAATAATAAGTAAAATTAAATATTTTTTTAAGTAAAACAAAAAGTGAAATGAGGACCTTAAACATGAGGTTTGTAGTAAGTGTACTTTAGAAAGTCTCAGTCCTATCTAGTGGATAAGAGAGTGAGAGATGAGATTAAACAACCTGGTTTTAAACTCTAACTTAATCACTGTACGGCCTTGGGGAGTGACTTAACCTCTCTGTGCCTTAGTTTCATCACATGAAAAGTGGAGAGAATAAGAGTTTTTGATTCAGAGTGGTTATGAGATTAAATATGTAAAACACTCAGAACAGGGCCTGGCATATTCTACCAGTTGAGAGTTTGCTGGTGTTTTACCTGGTTCTTAAATAGCTGCAAGACTTTGATACAACCATTAGCTTTCTCTGCTGTAAACAGGGGAACCTGGACATTTGCATTTTTTTCCAGGTCATCTCTAGTTTTAACATCCTGAGATTCACAATATATGTCACTAGCAAAAGCCTACGTCTTACACACAGTAGGGACTGCTGGATTCCGGGTGTCACTACCAACCAGTAACTGGAGTGTAGTACCCCAAACTTTGCCTCATGTTTTGAATCAGGAGAAAAAGTCTCAAGTGTCATCACGTCCTAGACATAGGAAAGGTTATTCTAGAGAGGAGCAGGTCAAGGAAGTTGTTCATACCACTATTGATAGTAATTGATCATGCTCACCAAAAGTGTATTGTTGGTCATGTTGCAGACATGGCTTGTGTCCTTGTGTGTGAGGTTAATGGTGATGTCACATACTGACTCATGTCTGCTGCAAGGACAATCTTAACATCAGGCAACTGCATTGGATAAAGGTGGTTGTTAGTGATGGCAGATGCTGGGATTGTAGCAAGGTTTCAAAAAGAAAACACAGCTTCCGACACTGGCCTGTACCACCCATTCCTTTTTCCCAAGCCATGGCTGGAAAACTGGCAAGATGGATTCAGTAACTTCTGACATCTAGTGACCTGGGCCAGAGGGAAGTTCTCTGGCTCTGGGATGCTGTTCGTCTTGCTGGTGGGTGTCATTTGGGTGGGTTTCTTCTGCCAGGGAACAGACTGAGGAATATGGGAGATTTCGGTTTCTATGGATACAGGGCTAGCTGGGATTTGCATAATGCATTTCAGAGAACTGGCAGTCTGGGAACAATGTGGACTGAAGAGGAATGTCAAAGCACATGGAAATGAATTAGAGGGTCTGGGCAGCCGGACTCCATTTAGGCCCTCTGCTAGGGACTCCAATGCATGTCTTTCTCTTCTCTGCCTGGCAGTAATGTGGATAGAGGGGCACTGTTTACACATCCCTGCAAGGCATGGCATATACATGGAGCTCAACAAATGTTGAGGCCATTTGTCCCGTTTTTAAAATATTTATTATTATTATTTTATTTGCTATAAGGCACTTGTGCTCACCAGAGAGAGAGAAAGTGAGAAATCAAGCTGCCAGGTCCGGGACTTGAACTGCAGTCAGCTATATGGAAGTCCAGCTCCTTAACTATCATGCCACCTGCTGGCCTGTCCTTCCTCCCCCTCCTTTTTTTTTAATCTTTGTTTTTGCTGTAGGACACATGCACTCAACAGAGAAAGAGAGAAAGAAAGTAATAAATCACCCTGCGGGGGCAATGGCCACAGCATAGTCCCTTCTCCATTCTCTTGGGATTTCATGCACGCACACACACGTGCCTGGCATGTTTTTCAAGCCACCAGGTCTGGGACTCAAGCCACACAGTCAGCTATGTGGGATCCAGCCCCATTAACCTCCACCCCACCTACCAGCCCATGTCCTCCTCTTTTCAGGGTTGACGATCACCTGGGTGCTACATACGTGCACCAAGGACTCACGGATTTCAGGATGATTTTAAAGGCAAAGCCCTGAATGGGAAGGAGAGTACATAATAGTTTGGCAAAGCTATACATTGGTAAAGAGCCATAGCAAGGAGTCTTGTACAACAGTGACTGACTAAATTCTGTGATAACGGGAACAGATGACCTCATGGTAGCTCAGAGTCACTTTGCTTAATATTTTTTTTCTTTTAGACATTTATTCATGTGTTTCTTCTATGAGAGAGAGGAAGAGAGAGACAGAGATATACATCTAAACAGTCTTCATGCTATGATCTATCCCCAGACTCAGCCTGCATTTCATTATGAGCCTGCATATTCACAGCTGTCATGCTCAGGAGAGGTCCTGGGACTGGAACCCAGGACTTTCCCATATGGATCCAGTTGTATTACTACTGGAGACAATCTGGTGCACTGTTTTATTACTGAGGAATGTACTTGGGCATTGAGGGTGTTTATAAGACAGAAA